GCTTTCTTTCACCCAAAAATTTATACCCCTTTCTAGAAAACGCCTCTAAAATGGATCCCCCATTCTAAATCAGGAGCTCCAAAATCCCGCCCCCGTTGGGCGGCCCACCCCCATATGGGTAATGTATGGGAGTCCCCCCCCCCCCCCCGGGTTCTAACGGATCCATTATTTTCGTCTAGCAAAGAACAGTATGTGTGTCTCAATGTTGGAATAAAATTTATTATGTTCTTTACCTTCTGCAGATGGAGTTGCAAAACTGGCACTGTATATTTAAAAAATCCCTATATTTTTCCTATTATTTTACCATTTTCCCTATATTGGCCCTATATTTCTTAAAAGTCGCCCCTATATTAAGCCCTGTATTTTTGTTTGAGACTACTTGAAGCGCTGTGATACGTCTCAAGCGAGCGAAGATATAGTATCTAAATTGCGGTGCCAAAACCCAAAACCTGATCTTCCTTTCAGAATATGGTAATTAAGAGCAATCTCTCGCGAGGTCGCCTCCCGGAGGGAAGCTACCTACGCCCGTGCGCTTTGCCCTCAAGACCACCTCTTAGACGAATGAGAGACTACTCGTTTACAGATGAACCTTCGAGGTCCATGTTGTCTGGATCGATGTTGTACAGATGCCCGAGAATTTTTGTTTCGAAAAACTCACTTCCTTTGAATAGATGGTCCTGAGAATTTACGAGATCCTTACTCACCTCTTACATTTACAGCACAAAGTGTGGATTCTTCGTGTGACAGTGATCACGAGTGCCAATAGACCTCTTTAGCTCGTACGTTTTGTTTTCCCAATAAAGAACCCACGGGGAATTCAACCACTTCCGTCTATGCACGTGAATAGGGTGTTTTCACATGACGTCACGGCGGCCATATTGGTGTCCCAAAACAATGAAACGGCGGCCATGTTGGTGTCCCAAACCAATCCTCTGGGAGTCCAACTCTTTTCTCATGCAAACGCTTTCCTTTGTTTTAATAAATTTGCATAGATGCTGGCCACGTGAGTGAAAACACTCTATAAGACGAAATTTGAAAGAACCAGTTCTCTAGAGTATAATCGCATGACCTGTACTGGGAGAACGAATTTTAAACATACAAGCTAAAGAGATCTATTACTGTAAAACAAGATAATAATTGATAATCAAATGGTGCTTCTGGCTAACTCGTGGATCAAGTATAACTCGACTTGCAATAGTCTACCGGTATATTAGTCAGTCAAAACGTGGTTATGCAATGCAAAATCTCTCGTACAAAGCTAGGACTTAGTTCGCCAAGTTATGTTCGACACTGAAGCCTCCTTGGAGAGCACTACTGTTCACTCACTGTAGCACTTGAGTTTCCTGTCTTAAGACAGTGGCTCATACCCAGTTCTCTGTCTAGTCATTTTTATTATTGTTATGTCTTCAATAATTATTATCAATTCCACTAGTTTTCCAGAAATCCGGCTTCAAATGTTATATCCTCAACATATTATATTTCCTCTGACTGAAAATTTTTGCTTGTTATATACTTAAATTGATCATGAGTCATTAATAGCTTTCTCAGATAAATCATAGCAAACAAGTCTTTCTTGCATTTTCAAAGTATATGTTAAGCAAACTCATTCGGTATTGTATACCGAACAAGAAGACGCCCGAATGCGTTTACGCGGGATGTGTGGGTGCAACTAAGAATCACCGGCGTGTTGAATGGCAATGGAAAGTTGAGTGTTACTTTTGCTCTGACAGGCGTAAAGTACGGTTGGTTTATTTGGGCGACCATCTAGATCTTTTAGGCCTGGCACCCCAGCTAAAATGCTTGGGCGACCAAAGGGCTCCCTGAAATCTTCCCTAGAGCACAGCCTTTCAGCCCTGTAGTTATCGGAAATATGATACATTACGGCTATTGTTGAATGTGGAGGTGCATTTTTTGAGGACATTAGTAGAGGGAATGCAACTTTTACTGAACTATCACATACTGTTATCATAGATGGTAATATTGATGTGAGTTTTGTTTTGAGTAGCAAAGGAACCCTTGTGTGTAACTCATCTCCTAGTGTATTAGCCCTTAACAGAACATCTCCGTCTCTCCTGTACACATTTGTTGTTGATACACTATCCTAATTTGAAGAAAAAAGTCTGTTATTCTGAAAAGCTGTAAAAATCGAAACCTGTGCAGCTTGATTAAAGATAGATAAAGATTGTCACGTTCATTGTCAAGGATGATGTTACATGTGAATTCACATGGAACGACCTTTGAACATCAATGCGCGCCCGCTACCCGATTTAACAACATTTTCTTAAAGCTTTCTGTCAGATACACTACATACAAGTCGACCTCAAGAGTTTCTTAGCGAGCGGAACGTTCTTTTTAGGCCGTGAAGCGACCGAGCGAGCTACGATTTCGCAAGTAATAAATTCTAGGCATTCTAGCTTTTTGACTGTAAATCAAGAAACCGGCACCAGCATGTCGCCCGGCTGGGCGACCTGGACAATATTTTCAGTCACCCGAGGCCAAGTCTTGCGCCTTTAGAGCACAGCCTCGAGTCTTTGTCCTCCCCTACGCAGTAAGCTTACTTTTCCTTCCTTTGCTGACCCAGTATCTTTTTTCTGCTTGTGAAATCCAACCTGACTTGTACAGGATTCGAAGTTGCAGCCAATAAAAATCACACAATTTTTCGGGACGGGCACGGGATACGGGAAAGTTGAAAAACAAAGACGCTGTGGGAGCGTATATTTGGACGTGGTCGTACTATGCATATGATACTTTGAACATGCCTTATTGCAGCTAAACAACTGTCATCATATCTTAC